CTTAGATAAGTTTTTTGGAATGAGGCAACGCTGATCGTAAATCATTTGCAAGTATTCTGTGTTCCATTGCTACCCTGTTTCGCTACATTTTCGTTGCAATGTGCCTCATTTACTTTGTGATAATACATGTGCAGTTTTAGAGATAAGCAATGACGGTCGACTTGGAACTAAACCAAAAAAAGGCAGCGATCCGATCGTTTCTCCGAGCTAAGGACACCCCTAAGCCAATATTCGCGCTGCTATACGGATTTCAGGTATGATTCGAACCTCGCCAAAGCCCAGCGAAATCTTTCTAGTTTGCTTCGCAAAACTACACTTCCTTCCTCGACACAATTTCTTCGCTCATTACAGGGCTTGGGTATGAATGACATGTAGTTAGTGCAGGTACAGTCTCGTTCCCTACGGATGCTGGGTATGGCACAGCTCCGGCCCATTTTCTCTGATGACTGCCGCTCTTCCGATTTAACAACTAGTGGAGACGAATAGGTCCGCGCCAAACCTGCCCCTGTCACGCCCCTCTGCAGCGAACAATACTATGGGACCATGGCTGGGAAGTGGCCTGTAGGCAGGCGGAAGGTATAAGGAGGCGCGAACGCAGGGCACATCATTGTTTGGGGATTTGAGCACATGTGAAACAGGAAAAGCCGCGAGAAATACGACCCCCTCCCTTCTACCGAATCTCAAATTTTCCTAGATGCGTTTCCGGCAAACTTCCTGGGCAGCTTTTCGTCAAAATTTCCGGCGAAAACTTCCGCTGCTTTTCAAGAGCGGTGCAAAATTTTCCTGTCGAGGAGGGGGTGGGGTAGAAGTACATAGTACGCATGAAACATGAAAATCACGAAAAGTCAACCACCACTCCTAGAAGGCCAAAAAGTAGGTACGACCCCCCCCCTCCCCCTCAACAACGAATGTGGGGCCCGCGTAGGGAAAAACCAACCGGCGAGGAAAACGAAGCGAACCCCCTCACCATCTTCTCAGATTATCTTCCAACTTCCCTACCACTTTATCCGCAATTCTCTGAAAATTTTTATACTTTTGCCCAGAACCCTACTGTCAACCGCGGGAGGGGGAGGCGGGAGGGGGTATGGTCGTATATATGTATGGTACTCGCAGGCGTCACACCTGGGCCTGAAATTTGTCATTTCGAAATTTTCCTCGGGAAGTTTATTTTGATGCAGAAGAAGTGTACGCCGAGGAAACGGGAGCCCCTCCCGGCCCCCCCTAAAAAGGCTAAGAATACTGCAAAGCGTGTCAGCAGACGCAGAAATAACAGGGTTTTCAGGTTCTCCACCATAAACAAAACTGTGGCTTAGTAGAGTAAGTGGTGGACTGTGGCGCAGTAAAGATCCATTGCCATTGAAGTGTAGTAGGCGGCATGCAAGGCATGGTAGTACAGGTCTTGTTCGCTGGCGGACAGCTGGGCGTTCAAAGGGGGGGGGGCGGGGTTAGGGGCGGAGGGAGGATGGGGGCTGGCGCGTCAGCCTGCTCTCAACCGCTTGTGGAAGTGTGGCGAGGCAGTGGAGGCAGCAGGCTGACGGCTGCGTCAAGGCCAGGCCGGCTCTGGGACATCCCAGCGAACATGACTGTAGGTCTTACAATGTAATGGGGGTGTTTCGGTGCTGCAGGGGCGAAGCCTTTTCTCATCAGACTCAGCAAGGATGGAAGACTCAGGCAGGTGGCGCTGCTTCAGAGGAGGCCAAATGTAACCCCAGAGGTAAATTTCCGGGGCGAAGTCTGGCTCTCCGAAACATGTAAACCGCGGAAATATCACCCCCCCCCCCTATCTACCAATTCTCAGATTTCTCCCTAGAGCTTCCTGCCACTTTTTCCAAAAATTCCAAAATTGTCGCCGAAACTTCCCTGCTTTTCTCAAAATTTTCCAGTCGAGAATGGGGGGGGGATTAGATGTACACAGACGCCATGAGAACATGAAAATCACCGAAATCTCAACCATCATCTTAGAAGCCAAAAGCTAGGTACGACCCCCCCCCCCTACCCACACAACGATGTGTGCCCTTGTAGGGTAAACGCGAGAAAACACGGACCCCCCTCTGCACCATCTCTCTCCCTTATCTTCCAACTTGCCTCCACTATATCCGCGTAATTCACCGAAATTTTTCCTACTTTACCCAAAATCTCGCTGCTTAAGCGGGAGGCGGTAAGGGGTAGGTACGATAGTATATTTTATGTACTCTGCACCGTCACACTCGGCTAAATTTCACATAACGAAATTTTCCTTGGAAGTTATCTTGTATTCAAGAACTGTCCCCAAGACCGGAGAGACCTCCCTGAGCTCAAAGAATCGTGCGAAGTGCGTGTCCGCAGTGAAGAGGTGATAAACGGGCTTTTCAGTTTCCCCCCCCGCCCCCCGTATGACAAAAAAAAACTGCGGCTCAGTAGATAAGATTGGTGAACTGTGGCGCAGTGACAACCTTGCATGATGTTGTAGTATAGCCGCATGCAGCATTTTGTAGTACAGTTCTGTTCGCTTCGTTCAAGGGCGGCGGCGTGCGGCGAAAGGAGGATGGGCTTGGTGTCGGTCAGCTTGACTCTCCGCCACTTCGTGGAAGTATAGCACCAAGTGCCCGGAGGACAGCTGACGCTGCGTCAAGCGCATCCCTCTGGACAGTCCCAGCTTCCAGCACTATAAAATGTCACATGGGTCTTTCGGTACCTCCCGCCAGGGGCGAGGCCTGTTCGCTCATCAGACTCAGCAAGGTGCGTCTTCAGCGACAACATGACCCCAGGAACGGTAAATTTCAGCGAAGCTCGCTCTCGACAGTCTCTTTATACATCATCTGCCTAAATTCTAGAGAGACTGAGGCCGTATGAGAGTAAAACACGCCCACGATCGCTTCATAACTCAGCCCATCAACGAGAAGGCAATTTACTGAGGGTCTGGAGCTGAAGAAAGGAAAATTCCCTTAGTGTTATCAAAACCTTCTATCTGTTCCTGCATTTTTCTTTAACATGCGTTTATCTTATCTTATATAATATTTGAGCAAGTAATGGTCTGCGTATCTGCCCTACTCACCGTTCCGTTCCTAGTTACCGATAGTTTATGTGCCGGGGATAGCAGCGGTGAGTTACCTTCTCTAACAGTTACATAATATTGCCAATTAAACTCGTAACTCTGTCATTCCTTTAAATTCACCAAACTGTTTAAATTGAGTATCCGTTCAACATTCGTCGTCAGCCGGGTCTCCTCCACAATCGTCCCCCGCCTCGCCCCGCCTTCACAACTCTTGGACACTGCGTAATGAGATTTCTGTTATGTCTCCATGACATGCCGCTATTTATCAACCTTTATACTTAGCCTATCATTTAATAATTACCCGTCTCTTGATGAGCTCATTCATCAGAAACGTTTATATCTGTAAGACCGCACAATCAATCTCTATGTTACAATCCTTGTTTCGTTGCGCAATACCTTGGGCGTGTCACTAGAAGAGCCGAGTTTGGCGGGTGAACAGACAACCAGGCCGCCAATCCAGTTCCCCCTCTCATGCCGCCCCTCCGTCCGCAAGCTTAAGCAACGACTGCTGGAGACTATGACTCATAAATCAAGTGCTTGCTCGATCTTCCGATTTGGTGGTTTGTACAAATAAGGGGGCTTATACCTTCTGGGCGTTCTTCCGAGTCTTACCCAGTCGCTAGTGAGGCGTCGCCTTTTCTCATAGCCATTCCTCCCAGCGGACGTCTGCCTCCTACTTCCCCTGCCGACACGGCAAGGCAAGCTGTTATAGAAAAAATGAGACAGCGGTCGGGCAGATTATGAGAAGGGCACTTCGACTTTGTGCCCACTTAAACTCCATCAATCGTCCTTATTGTAATCAGCTTCGCCCCGAACACTCAAACAGCCAGACATCATAAATAAGACTCGACTTCTAGCCTACACTGAGTTCTTCTTCAATCTCCCTACGACAAACCATTGTCTTCGTTGACGCGCTTTCATATTCTTCGATTGTCTTATCTCTTTCGACTCGCCACGCGTCGATGGCTGAGACTCGCTCGAGGCCCACTGTCTCCTGAGCTCTCTATGTGCTCAGACTTCTGTATTCTTCTATTTCTTCCCCGAATCGCTAGCGCGAGAAAGAAGAACGATTTCCATCTTCTTTTGGCATGCATTCTCAGGTCCTCCTGTTCTCCTGAGTCGCCAGGTGGACACTTATAGTTACCCTTGGCGCGCATTGCAGTACTCTCCCAATCTTATATTCTCCTAATTCCGCTCTGTTCCAAAGTATGAACGTGGCCTAAGCGAGATGATGCGGCGCTAGAATTTATGTGAGCTATCTAGGGCAAGACATATTGCCTACTTTAGAGGGTTCTGCATTACCATCTACTAAGCAATTCCCATCAGATTCGGAATGTCCCCTCTAGTGGGGCATCATCCGGCCTTTGTGTCGTATCAAATCCTATTCTTTGCCACGCTCGAAGGCACGGTCCGCTATAAGAGCTAGAGCTAAGTGAAAGTGTGGAATATGGAACAGAAGCTGGCAAAAGACTCGTCGAAAATATGCCAAAAGGAGCTATTATAGAGTTCCTCCAGCCTCATACAATTTCATGGATAAATGGCCAAAAACCCCGTTCATGCGGAGTCCAGTCGGCTGTTTACTTGTAATGAACTCTATCTCTCGAGGGAGAGGTCTGGAGGCGGAGTCACGGTAAGAAGGGAGGTGTAACTGGGGCAACTTTTAGCCTTAACTCCTTTACCTTACAACTATCCGCCTCGGAACTGGTGTAAGCTTTTCCATTACGGACCACACTACCCTTCCCACACAATCTTTTGCATTTTCGTAGGTCATTAGCGTTTCTTCAATGACCGTCGGCACAATTTTTCTCATGGTCACTCCAAAACCAAGTAACATTAATACATTCATGAAGTATTCGAGAGGCAAATATATGCATTTAAACAAATTAATCTGTGAATGGTATTTTATTGAAGGTTGGCACTTCTCCAAGGAACTGCATTCGCCTATGTACCATCCGTTCAAGTATTTATGGGAAAATGTTTGATCAACAGTACAACACATGTTCCTGAACATGAGTACTACGGAAAATTGGCACTTGTACGTAAATTGTGAGAATTTGTCATTTTTTTCTATTTTCCTTCCTGAACTGAAATTTTTTAATGAAGGCGCTGCCAGTGTAGCAGTGTGAGCAACATTCGGTTGCAAATGAACAGCTCCCTGTTCTATCTCGCAAAAACCCCCTTCAAGTAGAATCAGTCCATCTTATCCACAGTAAAGAACACTAATAAACAAATTGGTCAGGGTGTTTTTTTCACTTATAACACACTTCAATCGTCACTTTCTTGCTTCATAGGAGTAGGGCAGGTGTGACTCAAAAGGCAGTAAGCGGCCTTTGTTGACAAAACACGCTCCTCCAGTTCTGTTCCTCAACTACAGACTGCGCACCCACCTCCGACAATTTGCTCCTTTGTCATATGTGAGGTGAACGAGTCGGCAGCTGCGTGCCACTTTCTCCGCTCAGAAGTGCATGGGAACGCTGCTGGATGGTTGTGACACCAGGGCACGCCATCGCGTTGTGGTCATTCTAAAAATGCGACCTCCCCCTCTGTTCCATCCTCAAATCAAACCTTCCGCTTCGCCCATCCTACTACCTACGCAATTTTCCTGCGACTACTAATCTAAAAACTCCGTCCAACACTTTTCCATTTTCTTTCCCGAAATTTCCAGTTTTTTACAAGTTCAAGAATTTCCGTCGTGACAGGGGGGGGGGGAGGTCGATCAGGTTAATCTAATCATTTTCAACTATCGGAGATCGAAATATGGTAGTTGCATTAGATTTTGGCAGTTCCTCTCTCAAACAAACTGTGGCCAATACCGACCTCCCCTCCCCTCTTACCGTCGTGAAACAAGAGAATCTATACTAGCAAAAAAAGTTTCTCTTCTAGACCAAATATCGAACACCTCTCCCTCGCTGTCAAATACGACACCCCCGTTGTGATGATCCAGCGATGGCGTGCCCTGTGTGATACTGGAGTGCCACCTTCATACGTAGAATATAGAGCCGAGGGAGCGTGGGCTTGAGTAGTGGTTGTAGATTACCGCACGTACGTCCATCCGCGATCTCTGACTGCGCTGACGTAGGGTCTAGCACAGCGTCCCTAACCATAGTCAACGCGCTGCTTGATCTCTGTGCCTCTCATTTCTGTCTGCTCTCTATTATCGGTTTATTGCGAGATTTTTGTCTTGCGGATCAATCTTGATATCATTGCAAGCGGTGCTCATTGAAGATAGAGCGGGGTGTAGTATGAAGACGGCACTCCGTAGGTCATTGCCCTTCAACCCCGTTCCCGTGCGCTTTTGCCAGAAGAAACGGGCACGCTACTGCAGCTGCGAGCCCGTTCATCTCACTCACGGAAAAGATCACGCCCCACGAAAATGAGTGCTCAGTTTGTAAGCGAAAACTGTCGTCGCCACACTTACAACTAGATCCATAGAAAGGCTTTGTCGAGGCGGCGTGACGTGGACTGTGAATAAGCCCAAAATGGAAATTGTTCGGCTTCATTTGTGACTCATGCCTCAAAAAGCCACACAGTAGAGTGCTTCAAGGAAGAGTAAGACTTTTATAGCAAGTTAAGCTTTTCCTGACGCAATTATTAATTAGCAATTTGAGGTTCTCCTGACGCAATCATGGCCGCCTCGTCGCTACTCTATAAAAAACACTTTGCCTCAGAGAAATTACGCATTAGATTGTGTTTGAGTTGACTAGGCTGTAATATGAGTTCTAAACGAATAAAAATGCTGACTTGACTTTTCCGGCTGTTGCATTCGTTTCACAAGAAAAGTGAGTACTCCAAACAGTGTATAATTCCGAGTAGAAACGAATCCATGGCTCATACCCGACTGATCTTTTATCTATAAACCCCCGTTCCAGCTACAAGGATGTCTCATGGCGTCGGCTATCGTACCAATGGTCATTGGATTCACCGGCATTGTGGGAGTACTAACTAAATTTATTGGACCGCTCACGGTACTGGCATTCTATGTCCTTTTCCTCACATAATGTCAATATATTCACAGTTCAGGTATCGCCTCTGATGCTGCTGTTGGCATTTTCACAAGTGAATACTATGGTTGACAAGATCAGTCTCCATTGGGTAGCTATCATGTAAGTGTTGCTTCATATTTTTCAAAATTCTTAAGTTCCCTACTTCCTCACTCAATGTTCACTTGAGCCTTGTCTTGCGATGACTTTGTCTTGCGAGCGCACTTCTTGGATGGTAATAAACGAAAAATGCACGGTCGCAAGACGCCGAAAATCAGGTAGTTCTAGCAATCACACGTGATGGGCCAATTCCACTCAAGGCATACAGCGTCCTAGTTTAGCCATTTTCTCCCTAATTTTCACTGTATTTTCTATTTTTTTCAAGGTGAGTTGTGTTATTGCCTTTATGAAGTGTATTGGGACGTGGATTCCTTTTGTTGTAGTGAAGTGTTTTGCGATTTTTTCAGGTATTTGTTTAATTGTTTGTCCAATTGTCCAATTGTTCGAAATCTCACTTATAATTTACCTTGTGAAGACAACCTCAAGAACCTCAAGAAAAGCAGCCAAAAACAGTGAAAATTAGGGAGAAAATGGCTAAACCAGGCTGGAAACAGCTGATCGCCGCGGTCGTGACGCGCCGCAGCCGCGTCGCGACCCTTTGGCCGCCTAATCGAAGAGCCCGGATGACGACTGTAAGTCGGTTGAACGAGCTGATATCACTGATTCCAAACGACATTACCAAGCGGAATATATGGCTCTTCGTTTTTTTTCTCAGAAAGGAGCGTTCCGCGTTGCTCAATCGTTGGTACACGCTTTTTATCTCACTTCAGAGCAGTAAGGGCATAGGAATGCAAATTTGAATGCTACTTCTGCATTATGTATTAAAATGCCTTCCTGGATGTGCTGCCGTTCCTATTTTCCCTGTCTAACTGATCAACCCAAAAGGGATGGAAGGCAGACCGCAGGTGATCTGTAGTGCAAACTCCCAACTATAAGTGGTGCCAATCCCACCTGAGGGTGTTCGTTTAGAAAATGACAAGTCCTTCTTGTGCATCCAGTTTTCTATCTGGCATCAAAACTGGGAGTTGCTTTAAGATCCATTGCTCAACCTGGATTCCTTCAACAGATTTCCTTTTCAGTCAAGCAATAACGTTGTTCATCACAATTCTGTACCTTGCCGAAGTTCTCGTTCCTTTACCTGGGCTCAAGTACGGTAAACTGCACTGGTACCGGACTAACGTATTCGGACAGTATCCGGTAAGTCTAAGTGTTTTCCTATTTCAATTGAGCAAAGGGATCTACAGAGCTGAAGTCTGCTTCGGTGGGCTGTCTTTCATTGAAGTTTCGACTTACCGTCATGAGAATGTCGAGTTAGATTTCGCGATGATAAGCGTCGATGCTCTCCGACGTGCATGATCGCGAAGTCTGAACACAGCCTTGCGTCACCGGAGACGCCTCTTTTGTCTTTTCATTTTGTCGTAACTTATCAGGTTCGACTTTTTCGATCCTCCAACAGCGGGGCTTCCGATCATTCGACTCATAAGGGCGTATACTAAAAGGGCTCCAGTGCATTTTCACATTGTCATCCATTATCTAAAGGGGGTCCGCCCGCATCACTCCCTTAATGAGCTGTTCCGGTAAAAAGCTTATAGGTAGAATTCTATAGAACTAATCTCCTTACAGTACTTGATCGCTATTGTGATCTCATGGGCATTCTGCCTATTCCTGACCGTCTTCGATCTCGTCGAAGCAGGTGGTCCTGCACGAGTTGACATTCCTCACAAAGTGAACGCCATTAAAAACTCCGCGTGGATAGCCGTACCATATCCAGGTTCGTTTATTTTCGTGTTGTGTTCAAAATTGATTGAAGCTTAACATCGTGCTGCCGGTGTACGTGCTGCAAAGTAAAGCCATCACAAGCAAAATTTTGGAGATTCCTCATAGGCCGTAGGCATTAGGCAAACTTTTTTGTCGCTTGTCGATGTCTTTTGGGAGTACTTTCCGCACTGATTGTGGTCATGGAGTCAGTTCGACACGTGCGTCTTTCTCATTCCCTTGTTCCTTAACGGGCAAAAAGAAGGAAGGAACCAACGAGAAAAACCCAATGGTTCAATTGATTTTACCTACATCTTCAGCGTCATAATGTCCCTTTAATGGCTTGCTCCTCACTTCCCGATGCGAATGTCACTGCAAGATCGCCAGCTTGCGGTATGATAATTAGCGCGCTTGCCCGTCAAGCGCGAGATTAGGCTTCCAGTCCCAGTCCAAACAAATTGTTTTGTCCACGACTTGACAATCATCAATAGTAAGGTTGTTGAGTTTCGACTGAAAATCAAATTTCAGGTAAATTCGGTGTGCCATCGTTCAACGTCAGTCTCTTTCTGGCGTACCTTCTCTCGGCCATGACGTCCGTCTTCGAATCAGTCGGCGATTACCATGCCGCTGCTCGGATATCACAAGAACGAGCACCGCCGAGTCATGCCATAAATCGAGGAATCCTTGCTGAAGGTATGTACACACAAAATACTACTGCTGCAAAGTTCAAGAGGAAAGCGCTTATGAGATGAAGAGGAGATCTCGTTGTCAGGCGTACGCTCGGCGTTGTTTGGAATACATCACGCACTGGCTTCCCAATCAGAAATGCATTCACAGTCGATAATTGTCGCAATCCAGCTCGGCAGTGTCAGAAGGCTGGAAAGAGCCCACATAGGCATGAACTACTTCTGGTTTTTTTACTTGATTTGGCCATCGTGGTAGGAAACGCGGATGGACTCTTTCCACGCTTCCTGACCCAGCTCCGCTGGATTGTGAAGTATCAAGTATAAGTGCGCACGCGGCCTGCTGACAACTCGTGGTAGTGTTCTGCTACATTTGATCCGTGAAGCTTCCCTCAGTCAGCACGCTAAAGTGCTTGTTGGAGCCTTCTGTGGAGGCGTCACGACGTACATACGTCTTGGCACGGCGCCAGCCTAGTTCCATCAGTGCCCATAGTGGCAATGGAGTGGTGGAAACGAGGTGGCGAGCCGTGAACACTTATATATGCGCAGGCATCTCCCCATGGCGCACAAACTTTCTCCACCCATAGCGGCACACTAATGCGCAGGTATCTCCCCATGGCGCACAAATAGCAACCGTATATCCTTTACAATCATTAAGCAAAACGCGTTTTCAGGTATTGGTTCGTTTCTATCGGGAATGTTGGGACCAGCCGTCGGAATGACAACCCACACAGAGAACATTGGTGTCATCGGCGTCACCAAAAGTCGCCTCCAGATGGACTATGGTTGTCGCTGGCGTCCTATTAATTATTTTGGGTGTATGTACAAAGGTATGTAATTACAAGTACAGAGGTATGTAATTACTATGTAATTACATGTCTGCAGAAATAAGGACAGCGAGTTTTCAAAAGAAAACGCATAGTGACTTCGTTTTCGTTTCTAAAGCAACTTGTTAAAAAAGTCTCCGCAGAGCACTTTGTTTCAACTCTCTAAGATACGTTTTCAGTCTGACAGTTGTGGTGTCTTTCAGATTGGAGCTATTCTCTCAACCGTTCCTGATCCATTAGTTGGTGGAATCCTGGCTTCATCGATGGCGATGGTTGTAGGTGTAGCCGTTTCAAATCTGCAGACGGTTCGTTCTTATTTCGAACTAATCAAGCTTACCTTTGGAAATTGCTTACCAGGAAAGGTCAACAGGTCAGCCTGGCCATTTCCAATGAGGTGCACACCGTTGTGCGCGTCTTGAGACGGTGAACTCAAATCTGTCTTCAGAATTTGCGGAACGATTCTCTGAACGGAGTTATGGAGGGTTTTATCCCGCGTGGTTGTTTCACATGCTATCGCGAGGAAACGTGGAAGCGTCTTTACATTTATGTATAGAGTCGTGCTGAAACGTGGCAGGGCGCAACAGGTAGCGAGCGGGTTTCCTGAGGCAAAACGTCGTGGGATCGGTTCCCGGCTGGTCGTCCATTTTGCATTTTTCCAAAACATGGCCGACAAAGCTTTAACAGCTCTGCTCGCCTGCACTACCATGTAAGGGAACCTGCGATCAGATTTTTCAGGTGTCCTTGTACTTGTTCCCCTCAAAACACGCGTCACATTGGGTTTTTGCAATGACCATCATATTCATGTTCAGCGGGTCAAATTACCCCTGGGGACAAGTTTCTAGCCAAATCTGATGTTTCGACCTCACTTGGGAAATGTGGGCTATTCTATGGGTAATTAGCAGCAGCAGCAGCAGACGGGTCCACCCACCATCGATGACTGGTCTCGGGATGGAATTTTCTCCTGGTAATCAGGAAAATGATGCAGACGGCACGAGCCAGGTATTGTTCTTTGCGAGAAGGCATGATTGAAGAGTTATTTCAGCTCAAAGACCAGTCATCACCAGTATGCTAGTCGCAGTATCGTTTGGCTACCAGTCAGCCATGACTAACCTTACCCCAATTTTTTCGAAGCTGAGTCAGAAACTCAGATTTCGCTAAGTGCCGTCTCTAGGGTTATTTGACCCCTGAACACGAATATGATACCTATTTTGCGCGGAAGCGCCATGAGTCGCGCTACTGGTGCCAACGCTTCGGCGCCAGCGCGCCCGGAAGAAGAAAAACAGTAAAGAAAACCTCCATAACTCCGCTCAGAGAATCGTTCTGCAAATTTTGAAGACAGTTCTGAGTTTGCCGTCTCAAACGAGTACTTGACCTGTTGACCTTTCCTGGTTAGCTCCTCCAATGCTCTCTCCAATGGCTCATTTGAAGCAACATGTGTGGAACATCTGCTCAGACGGGCTTCCAGAAGTTTCAATACTTTTATATCTGTTAACCAGATGAATAGCGCGGAAAATTTGGTTGGGCCCATACTTAAAAACATTTATGGAACTCGTTTACGTTTCGACTATATCATCCCACACCTCCCTAATGGCTATATACTATCCCCATTTGGATTCGAAGCAGGGGTGTGCGCGCGGCCTACTTCATTTCAGTATCCGTCTCATCCTCCGCTTCGCGTCGCATTCCCACGGCGACACTCGGGTTTAACATATGAAGCCTTATAAGCCGTTTTTATCTCTAATCTGTTTTATTCGCAGTAGATACATTGAGTATGCCGCTAAACATGGGAATTTCTGGCTTCTCGATGCGTTTCGGTATGGAATAATTTGTGCCAGAATATTCCTGACGTTTATCCTGTATGGCAAGCAGGTATGAAGTCTAGAGTATAACTGAGAGTTTATTAACCTTTCGAAACATCGTGGTAATTAAATGCATTAAAATTTATGGGGCCTACGCTGTGAGTTGTAATGCCAGCGGACTCTCTCTCGATCTGTCAGTTCTGATTATTTTGCTCTACTACTTGAGTCTATTTATACTCTTTCTTCCTCTTGATCGTATTGCTGTTTTACTCTATCAAGAGCGTTGATTATTTAAACCTTATTTTCTGTTTTGTCCTGTTTATATATTTATTAGTTCATTTTTAAATCTCGTGTACTATATATAATCTGCATAGTAGGTTCTAGCAAATCTCAGTTTCAATCTGATCCTTTTTTTCTCTAAGGATTTTTTTTCTTGCTTGTTACCATTCAACTCCTTTTGTAAGTTCCGTATAGTTTCAGTGAATGCAAATTGATCCGTCGTGCTTGGGTTATATTTTGTGGAACTGTTTTAATTCAATTCAAATAGTCATCAGGGAACTTTGGTCAAAAAATTATTATTCCGAGGCGATGACTGGAAATAGTAAAGAAAAATAATTAGAAGCTTACCATGAGAAGGATGAGGTTGTAAGGAGTACAATGAATTGGGGGATTTCCTGGTTCTAACAAAAGCACATCAGCACCATACATTCGGAGTGGAATCTCAGAGAAACTTGCACTTTCTCATCGCTTTGATAAAGCATATTTCTGCCTAGACGATCGAAGAGAAAACAGAACAAACTACTTTCTACTTTTTCTAATAGAGATTTTGTGGCTACTATATACATGACGTAAAAACTTGGCCCTGTTCCGCTTGGAAGGGATCGTTTGCACCTCCGTTCGATCCTTGTGCCGCTTTATGTCAACCAGCAGGCGTCCTTTTAGCGAGCCCTGTAAACTCGTGTAGAGCGAAATGTACAAGTGGGCCACCTTGGCTTCAAGAAGTACAGCTAATTGCGAGGTGGCCTGCACAAGCTTTCTGCCCCTACCAAGCTGAACTGCGTCAAGAACATTCTTTAAACCAGAAAGTAAGACTTCAAGAAGATCGAAGTATCCACTGAATTCGTGCATCCAGCTGTGACCATCCCGGAAATGAAGTGACCGAATCAGTGTCTGTTCCAAAACCCACCCAACACCACGGAAAGCCTCGAACAGCTATCACCCTTGAAGAGGTTCATAACCGAAAAGGAGCCGTTACGCGATCAAGAAAAATGGAATCGAATATTTTTGCACGCAGGTAGAGGCATTGACAGATCGAAGTCGCGAAGAATCAAGGTTCTTGTAGTGAAAATAGCTAACTAGCCAGACATTACGTGTAATATCGTACTATTGTATAATTTTGTATTTTTTACCCTTATTTTACTGTTATTATTTTACATATTTCCTTTTTTTAGTATACTGGATGTTTTTTTTGTTTTTAGCCGATGCCGCTTCTTCCACAGGTTACGATGAGAATGACCATTTTGTGGCTTTCAGGGATTTTTTTCGTGTACTGTATTTTTTCCGCTACCCCTATAGTCTTTTTCGCTGTGAATAATGGGGCTTGTCAGTGAAGCTGGGTTTGGCGCGCTGAAAGCCCGTTCTCCACCAGTTGTTGAAGGGGTAAGCGACAACCACTGTTGAAAAACAACTAATAAAAAGTGTGGTAGAGTACTGTAGTTTGCCGAAAGAAAGAGAAACGGGCTGGCGCTGCGCCAAACCTATTCCGCCTGACACGCCCCATCACTCGCAGCGAACAAGACGGTATTATGAATTTTTGCGGAACACCGTTTCATATGCTCAATTTCCCGAGAAAAAGTTGGCCAACCCTTGTCCGAGTAAGTAACTAAAGTCCGTTAAGGTGTACACATATTCGATGACGTCATCAACGTACTCTTGAAACTACAAATGTTCGTTGGTGCGATGTGTGCATGTTTGTTGGACAATACTGTCGGAGGTACGGTAGAACTTTGTAGACAGGGTCCTCTTTGAAGACTCATCAAGGCTGGAGTAAGAAATCCCTCTGTTCAGGAGCAACCCGAGAGCAACGAGGGTCTTCGCTCACGTGGTATCATTCATGAGATCTCCATTGATGACGACACTTATAGTTATCCTCCTGTAGTTATGAGTGTATTAAATAAGGTGGGATATGCTTTCTTTCAAATTCCCCCTTGATGTATAATGGGTTTCTTCCTTCAGATTCCATTCATCAAGTACTTCCCGTGTATGCCAAAGGAGAAAAGGGCCACGAATAAAGTCGCCGAGTTCTCCTCGGATGATCTCAAAGCGGATGAAGTTCGATTATGAATACGATGTTTTCATTACCGGTTTCTCAAGCCCTGGACAAGTGTCGATTGGGGCTGTACAATTGCACGGCTCGGCAATGTCGAGGCGGTCTATCTGTGAATACTTCAAGAGGCAGCATCAGTGACTATCAAACACTTCTGTCATTCATTCACACATCTGTAGAATGTGACCATGATGACTGAGATTTCACTTGTAATAAATGTTCTCTCCTTTTGAGTCTATGTAACAGCTTTCAGTGACATACTTTGACAAATGGCTCAAGCTGAGTAATATTCTTACTGTGAAGTACTGAGAACCGGTGGGGCACGTCAAAATCTCGCCGGTATTACTCGTGGAGAACATTTCAGCATTAGTGCATCCTGCAGCCCTGCAAATGTGTAATCACGTTAAATTCACGGCCGACGATAAGGAGCGTAGGTGTTGGCGGCGAGATGTGGAAGGGAAGCTGCCGAGTGATTCGCCCGTGAGAAGAAAATGCCAAGAGGAACGGCGGAAACACCATTGATATTGCCCCATCAGTCTCAAACAATTGCACGGGTGAAATGCAAAAAACGGCTTTCTGGGGCGACTTCACTACTGGAATGAACCCTATGACCACAAGAGACTTTAGCATGCCATTCCGTGCTACTTATCCGGTAGCATCGCTTTTGGCTGGAAGGCGGGCTTTGAAGGCGGAGTCTGGAGGCGGAGTCACTGGAAAAAGGGAGGTACCACTGGAGCAATTTTGCAGCATAACTCCTACACCTTACAACTTTCGGCCGTAAAACTGGCACAGGTTTGTGCACTGCGGACCACGCTACCTTACGTCTTTTGCATTTTCATAGTTCATCGCAGACCCTTCCTTTAAACGGAAAATCCATGCGTAATATTCAACAGTTTTCCCTCTACTGCTAAAGCGAAGGGGAACAGAACACTCCACCACGAGCTGAGGGGAAACTTCCTCTCGTGGGGAAGAGAATCACTGGGACAACCCCATCAGGGAAATGTACTTCGTCGCTGCGGAGAGAAGGTCGTTTCTGTACGGTAAGGGTCATATCTGTCC